ACACACACACACACACACACACACACACACATCAACAGAGAGGGATCAGATACCCGCAGACAGTAGCTGTGATTAATGCATCAGGCGCGGGTCCCTGCTGTAGTAGGTGTCTGTGTCTTAATCACTCTCTCAGTGTGTTTCATTAGCTCCTGATGGTCTCTGATGAATGGACTTGCCCTGGGTGTTCCTAACGTCTCTGGTGGTGCTGTCATCCAACAGGTTTTGATCGATCCTACTCCTCCTTAGCCAACCCCCCTCACCACCATGCGGAGAACCGCGGCTCAGATTGGCAGGTGCGTCTGTCAGGTTGTTCAAGATAATGATGCTCATGAGCACAGCCTGCTTCTGAATTCATTAACCTACATTTGAAGGATAATTCAGGCACTGGTCACTGGCCATATGTGCTTTGATTGTTGGATTCTTTCCCACTGTTGGGATTTAGTGCAAGGCGATGGGCAGTTTAATAAAACATGCAGATGGCCTCTGGCGTTTCTTCCTTCTTACTACTAGTCTCTTATCCTCATCTCATCTGGGAATGCTAAACTTCTGTTGCACTCCTAAGTTGCCGCACTTGCTTCATCTGTAGTAAATCCCTACGAATATCGCACCAGATATTCTGCTGAAGCCGTGCATCCAATTACACAGCACGTTGTTATGTAATAGGAGTAAAACATAATTGCCAATCTGCTTGATGTGCATAATGTGAAAAGATAATAGTTCTGAGGGGCGAAATGCATGAATTTTGTCACATTTCATTCCACCAGAGAAAGGCTGCATCATTGTATAATATCTCCTTCCTTTCTTTTTCTTGATTGTAAACATGGCACCTGAGGACTGTAGAGGCTGTGTCAGCTAAAACACATAGGGACCTGAGGGTGAAACACCAGCAGCAAAGAGATCTGTTACATCCTGACTCACCGAATGACTTAGGGTATTTTGAAATCTGGAAAAAGACAGAACGAGATGTCGATCTGTTGTATTCAAATGTGCCTACATTATCTGAATATATGCAGCGTCAGGGTATGTTGTGGGCTATTACCTCCTGTTCTAAATGCTTTTGCAGAGATTGTTGCTGAGGCAGGCAGTGCAGTGTTGGTGCTTGGCGGTGGCTTATGGGCGGCAGAGTTTGCCAACTCGTTCTCTCTTACTGCTCTCTCAGTGCATCATGGAGGATGCGAGGAGCCAGGACAGGGATAGAGAAGAGGGGATGCCGCCAGCTGGGGCTCCAGGAGGCTGTGTCGACTCTGATGCTTTAAAATGAACCAGGGCTGCTCCCAGCTCCACCCCCATCTCCTCCAATCAGAGCAAAACATGGCTATAAATGCTACCATCCTTCATCAGTGTGGGCCCAACGAAAGTTTACGATGTTGTCAGAATACACAATATCAAGCCGACCTGGAAGAAGTTGGCCTGCAGGTGAGTGCAGGTGAGTTCAGAAACAGTATCTGGGACGTGTCACAATGTCGTGAATGAAAGACAAGCATGTTTGATTTTCTTTTAACCTTCCTTTTAACAGGTTTGGTCACCCCTGTGGAGGAAGAAACAGCGCTCTGGCAAAAGAGATTAAACTGTGCACAGCTGATTCAGTTGCTGAAAAAGCTGATTTGGCATCAAAACATTAGAATTTTTCAGCATGAAATGACCATATGATGTCAAATTAGCACTTGACATTACCTGATCTTACTATGTTGATTCGAGCCACAGCGCCCTTGTTAGGGACCAAACAGAAAGGCAAGGGACAAGGCTGTACAAAGTTATTTTTCCTTTTGAAAGAATTTGAAATTTTCAAATAACAAATTAAATATTTATGCAATTTACATAAAATAGACAAAAACTACAAAATCAGGGTTGAAATTTAAAGAGGTCAACTCAGCAATAAGACAACTACAAATGTCTCACAGAGGGTGGATATATACACAGGTGGACTAGTCCAGAGAGCACACATGGGAAACCTAATCAAACATACAATATTAACAAGACAAAGAATCTATAAACATACAAACATAAAGAATATATCAAAATAAGTAGAAGCACAAACAAATAGGATTAACTTTAAACAAATAATAACAAAGTAAAAACAAAAAAGTTTCAACCCATTCTAAATCTAATCCCCCCCTTCAATCATGTGTTGGCCTCCTCCACTTCCTGTGGGCTGGGCTTAAAAGACCACTTCCTGCAGGCTTCAGGCCTTCTGCCAGGGGAGCTCGGTACAAACAATCGGTAAGTGTTTTTGTAAATTAAATAGAAAGACAGAATAATTGCCAAATTGTGTGCTCAGAAAATAAACCGACAAGTAAATGAAGATGTTCTATGAACAAAGGACTGTGTTTAAGAATGTGGCGACATTATACTAACACTGAGCTCATGGTGTTACTGTCACAGCCCTGTAAGACAAGGAACAAGACACAGCAGCCCAGTTTCCCAGGGAAAACCTTCATATGGGGTGATTCCAGACCTCACAATTTATGAGCACTTCCTAAATTCAGTGCCAACACAAGAAGACTTGTGCCTTTTATTTAGAAGGTAGAAATGAAGGGTGAGTTCGAGGTGGCAGTCTTTCTTTTAACCATTAACCAAGGGCAATTTGATTTTTGCAACCTTAAAGCTGCAGTTATCATTTTTTAAAGAACGGATCAGATGACTAGTTTGTGGAGATGAAGCCACAGGTAATTATCACACAATTCTTCATCTGCCCAATACTCTAGGGAGCTTAGTTTCTTCTAGTTGATTTGTGTATGAGTTGTTCATTTTGTTTTCTGCTGATTGCAACATTACTCTTATGATTACCTCTTACTGTTCACATCATCATTGTTTCTAGATGCATCAGACAGTAAGAGAGTTTTACATGTTTGTTGCATTTGATCCAGTTAGGACTAAAGACTTACATACATATGTCCTACACTGGTGTGTGGCACTTAGGCTATCATACTTGCTGCCCTTTGTGAATAAAGTGCATGTAAAATGTAGTCTTTCTGTTTGAATGGAGAGAATGAAGTTCACCTGTGTTCACCTTCATTTTGTTGCCACTGTAATATCATTTTGGCATTACTACCAGCAAAATGAACATGCAGACGTTCGTCATTCAAACATTACATAATTTTATTAGAGGAGACCCAATCCTGTGAGCCGCTTCTTTTTCTTTTTCTATTTAATGTTGTCTCAACTTCCTGCAATTGGTTCCAAGGTCTGAACAATTTGAAAAATATTTTCACGCCGCAAAAGAATCAGAATTATGATTAATCCGAAATGTCTGTTGGTCCGGACCAAACAAGGTCAATGTGAAAGCTCCCTACATGACAAAGAAACCAAGAGAGACAAAGTGCTGTGTGTTAAAACACTCTCTACAGAGGGAGGATAGGCTGATTTAAAAACAATCCTGTAAAATGCTCTATACTCACCACCTCCATGTGTCTCCTCCATCCTCTTGCCTCCCCCCATGCATTTCATGTTCTCTTCTGCTCTCTCAGCCCCATCACACCTCCTCTACACTCATTTGCTTTCTCCTCTTTCTCGTCCTCCTCTTCCTCCCTCCCTTCCCCTTCTATGCACTCTCTCGCTTCTTGGAGTCTCACCAATGCCTCGTGTTGTTTCACACCAGACCGTGTAGGATAGACTAAAAATATGTGTTTGGTCCTGGCGTCCCAAAAGACAACTTTAATAGAGAACAAAGGAGATAGCAGGACGGCTCAAATAACTCATAAAGAGAGAGAGAGAGAGAGAGAGGATGCGGCTCTTGGGGCTCTGTTGCCCACTGAAGAACATTATTACTAGATTATTGATTTACAGCGCAAAATGGATGGAACATAAGTAGGGATAAGCTCATTAATCCCTCTCCTGCCTCTTTTATGAAAATGCACTTGTTATCAGTGATTATTTTAATGGGATTGTTATGATCGAACACTTACTGTACTGCACTGCACGCCCGCTGAGTTCGCAAAAAATGCAGAGCGCAGGGACAGCAAAGGTGAGGTCTGGGGAGGTGAAGAAAGGACGACAGGGGAAGGGCAGAGGCATATCTGCTGAAATGAATGCACTGAAATAAAAGCTCAAAACACAGACAGTGGAATTGCTGACATTCTGGTGACATTTGGTGCATCAGTGGCATTTCGCAAGACATACGAGCACGTAGCTCAGTTCACATCACTCCTGGAATGAGACGAGGGCACACACCCTCTGAAATATTCAAGCTGCCACACAGGAGTGCTCATTAACATATCTAAGATGACTTTTTTACTTCATGTCTGCTGTTCACACCACAAATTGCTCTTCATTATCCCTTGTTTTTACATGTTTTATTCTCTTATGAAGCTCAACGAGTAGTTTAATTTACAGTAATGAAAACTCTAAGACACCCGACCTCAATCTTTGTCTTGCTCCCTCTCGCTGCCTCCCTCTTCCTCTCCTCTCGCGGCTCCATGTACATCCATCAGGGAGTGCTCCAACGGAGCGCGGCGGGCCCGACGATTGTCCTCATAAATTGTGTGTGTGTCGGGGTGCAGAGGGGCTAAGTGAGCAGTAAATAACAAAGGGTCCTGCCGCCATCCGCTCACCGTCGCCACGTTTCCGGCCACGCAAGATTACCCAGGATGCCCCTGGAGGGGTGTCTTCTTCCTCTGTGTGATGAATGGACAGGAGGAGGGAGGAACATGCCTTTGCCACCCAGCGTCTGACAGAGAAAAGGTGAGGTCCAGGAACCCTGCCGATTTAAATTGATGAGTGTCTTTATTTCGCCGTAAAAAAAGAGAAAGAGGCTGTTTGTCTCCCCCTTTCTGTAATAACAGATCGCTCTGCAGATATCTTTAACTGCTTTCATTCTTCACTGTCAGTCGCTTTTTTCTCTGTCCCACTCACTTTCTCTTGCTCTCTTGTGTCCTTTTCGATTTTTCCTCTCCTGCCTATTCTCTGTCTCTCTATTGAGTGTGCATTCATAACTGCCCTTGGTCACTTATTTCTACTCTGTCTGTACTTTTCTAAATCCCCACACTTCTCTCCAACGTCCTGCTCCCTCTTCTACTCTCTTTCTGCTGTAACGCTCCAACATGCTTTCAGAAACACCATCAAACCTGAACTTGCCACTCATAGTTCTCTTATTCATTACTCCTGGTTCTTTTTTCCCACTTTTGATTGATGTAACTCTTTCACAGACTCAGTTCTTTTTTTCTTTTTTTTCTGGTCTCACCCATTATCATAAAGCTATATTTTATTCTAGGTAATAACATTTTATTGTGGTACCTGCCAGCTGACTTTTTCCGGCACCTGATTCTTGACATTTTGCATCGCCTTGCATTTTCCACTGTGCCTCTGCATGCTGTACCATTCACCTTGATACTCAATATCATTCCATCTATCTTAGTCACCCTTTCCTCCCCCACACCCCTTTCTCCCCCATTTGCCAGATTTAGACCTGACAAACTAAGGATCTGCATCCTAAACAACACCTGCTTTAGTTTTTTTGATTCACCATTTACAGGCCGTGACAGGTTTATTGTGCATTTTGTGATTTCGCTGCATCTGCTCTGTTTAGTTGAATGGCATGCAGCCGTCCTGAGAGAAAAAAGAAGTTAATGTTAGGTTTTGAGATAGTTGGGTTTGATGAGAAAGATTCTGCATGACTGCCTCAGCCTCTCGGCTAGAGGAGCCTTCTCTCCAAACGTTGACAGCTGTAAGAAAGGAGATGAATAGGTTCAAAATGGGATGTTCAGACGGTTCTCTGAGATATTCTTAACAAAGCTTATATAAGGGCTGAGTTAAAGGTAGCTCTGTGTAAATGTTACCTTCCCTCTTTTTTGTTTGAGAGAGAACATCATGTCAAATTGCAAGCCGCAAATGTTAAACTGTTACATTTTGGCAATGAATTTGACAGGATGTGCTTAAAAGAGAAAACGGCCCTTACCGTGTGATACTTAACATAATCAAAATAATGATATATATTTCTTGCTTCTGTGCCATAGGACAAGAATAACATATCTATAGATTTCCATATAAGCTCTGCATATTGCATATGGATCAATAAAGTATTTAATAGTTTGATGTGTAACCTTTTTAAGAATATCGATTTGTGCAGTGGTCTGCATAAGGGCTCAATTTGGAGTGTATTGACTGTGGTGTTGTTGTGATATGTTGAGGGAGGGCCTCTGGCTCCGGGCAGACGCTCTCAACGCCACAGTTATTGACCCTCTTGACCTTCTCCTGACAAAGACGATATAGGCATCTCTATAGTGGTCTCATTATATTGTAACAACACTGCAGTGATATAAACAGAACCAGTCAGTCTACATCTGTTAGATACAAGAATGCTTAAAATGCTTCTACTCACAGCCTCTTAAACAGAGTTCCCAATAGAGTTCATCGAACCTCAACACTGATAAAGGGCCTTCTATTCCTGTAGCACTAAGTATTGAAAGTTGTTAAGTATTACACTGAATGCTTGGTCAGTCTCTTATTGACTAATTGTTTGTATTCTTTTTTTCAATGCAGTCTGACTTATGTAAATCAAGGCATCATGTTCTCAATATTTCACTAAACCACTTATTGGCTATAAACTATGAAAATATTTCACATTGAAAAATATCTAAACCTAAGCTGTAACCAGTTATCAGGATTTAAAATGGATTGAAAAAGTCTATTTAGACAGTGACTAACATAACAGAAAGATCTAAATCTAAGTTAATCTAAGATTTCTAGTTTATAAATATTATGAATATTTGCTTAATTTAACAAGAAATAATACAAGTTAAAGAGGCTCGAGACGTTTTTAGCTTCAAGCTATATGGTTAGCTTGAAACATGAGGTTTGACATGTTCTCATCCTCGTGTTTTTGTGAGGATCAATGTTTGATTCATTCATTTCATTTGTTCATTCAGATCACACCCAACAGGTCAAAATAAATGAATGCAGCGGGTTCATAATCAACATTACTGCATTTCCCTCTATAAAATGTTTTGCAAATTCTCTGAGTGGTTGTGCAACATTCTTCTTAACTGTTTTACATTCTTACACAGTTCAGTTCTTCAGTACTAGACTACTGATGCCTTTAGCTGTGGGCATCGATCACTTGACCTTCACCTTGCTGGTCATAGCAGTTCATTGAGAGTCTCCTGTTTTCCCCAGCTACTAATCTTTGTCTCCTGGTTAACTACGTATTTAACACACTCTTACAAACAAATTTATTTTGGAATGAGATATTGGACTATTTCTTCTAACACCCCTGCATTTAAATAGTTTGGTTTATGTTGTTGGATAAAATCAATATAGTAAAGAAAAACATTTTCATGCATGAAAAGGTTTTAATAATAGGTATCTCAGAAATGTATCATCTTTTATTAAGATTCTGGACGATCCAGTCCCACTTCCCCAAATATCCTTTTAATTTTTATAAAATTTGAAGCTACATTTAAAAAAAAAAAAAAAAAACCACCATCTGAACTCTATCACCTTAAGTGCTACCACTTGTTCTGGTGTTTCAAAAATAGTTAATGTGAGTAAACTTAACATGAAGAAGAACTTTGTTTCAACTTTTTATAATTACAATTAATAACTTATAAAAGTAGTTTAACTAGACTGTCATTTCAAACTCAATTCTTCTCCGTATACAGTTTCTACATTTCAGTTTCACCAAGAAGTAAAGACAATTTGCAAGATTATTTTCAGCATCTTTTATATATACAGATACAAATACTGTCTTGACAATTTTATCATTAGTATGAAGATCCATGACTTACAAGATTACATGGACACACAATAAGTTGACATCACATGCAATTTCAACACTAGATTCTACACACTGTACCTTTTAAGAAATGCATGCTGGCAAGAGGTTATGCCTTAGTTTTGTTTCTCTCTTCCTTTAATGAGTTAGGTGAACCTTTAACAGTTAATTTATTCAACTCATCTGTTCAAATTCAAATCAAAGTTTATTGTCACATGCACCAAATAATTGCACACATGCACAAAAAATTAAAGACGTCATGGTAAAATGACTCTTATGTAAAAGGTTGAAATTTGTACTTTATTCCACTAAATCCACATTATTATATAAAATGGATATTCTGAATTATTTGTAAATTAAGGTTAGGGTTTTAATTTAACTCAAATAAAGCTCTACAGGTGTTTGTCCACAGAACATAAGGTTGCAATAATGGACCCACCAAGAGGTCTGTGTAGTGGAAAAAGAAACATGTCTGATATAATTTTCCCAGCATACCCTGTTTAAACTGTGCAGCTGTGAGAAAGTTGAGCAGCTGGACGAGATGGGATTAGTGAGCGATGTTGCGTCTCTTCACCTCCTTATCGCCCTTTCCTCCCATCTCTCTCCTCCCATCTTCCTCTCTGTCTGACAGCCTTCATGGACTCTTTCTGGCCTCATACGGCTGGTGTATCAGTGCAGAGGAAGGCAGCGTCCCCTGGCTAGAGGTGACCCCCTGGACCCTATTAACATCACACATTCTCTGAGTGGCCAAAACACCCCCGAAATGAAGTCCCCTCTCCCCCATCGTTGCCAGAGCGCACTGCTGGGTGAATTAAATTGCAGGCTTTTTAATACAGCTTTTAATGGTTTATAAATTGCACGTAATGATTCCTCTCTCTCTCTCTCTCACGCAGTGCTTTTTATGGCCTCTTGGCTTTCTAAGGTAGTGGGTGGGATTTAATATGTGGTGGAGGAGGCAGAGTGAGGAGGTGAAACTAGACCTGCTCCGCAGTGCTCTCCGCAGCGCTATCCCTGCCCTTAACGCTTCCCCTGGCTATGGAGAAGGGAGTCTCGGAGATAATGCTGGACACTGATACATTCTGGCTGTAGCACATAACGGCTGGGACATGACAATACTGCATGACGGAGTGGTCACCAGAGAAGTGAGAATTATCAGGACTTGTGTTTGGTGGCAGGTAGAGAGCGGGATCAGAGGTGCGATTTGTGGGAGAGGCCTCACCTCAGGGAAAGACAAAAATGTGCACATTCCAACCAGTCGCTGAACCAAAATATGAAAAAGGACGGAGCAGAACACTCTTAATATTACCCAAGTGTAAATGTTAATGTATTTTTACATCTTACCAGTGCAGTACAAACACTGTACGCCTGAGTTAAGTCATCCAGTGCTATCCAATATTTTGTGCTTGTACACCCTCTCCTCAGTGATGTGTACCAGAACTTTCGTGCTGCTGGAACAGTGGATGTTCTCCAGCTTCACTTTTTTCCCCACATTGTTTGCAATCCAATATTTTTCTTTTGCAGCATTTGAACAACAATGTAAAATACAAAGGAACAGCAATGTAAAATACAGTGATAATGTGAGAATATGCTGTAATACATTAAAAAGTAATCAGGCATTTATCACGCATATTAAAATAGACAGCATCTTCTAATTGTTAAATTCATTCCAACACTTTCCTTTCACTGGCAAACATTTGGTCTCCCTAACAGTCTAGAGACTGGTAATTAGAGCAGTGTGGGAGGTTTTCAATTCCTAACGCGGTACAATATGAACAGTGGCCAGCATAAACCCAGTGCTTTCCTTGATGGTTCTTTGGCACTAAGTGAAATTCCAATTAACTGACCTAAATGTCTGCAGGGAGTGTTTGTCTGAGAGTGTGGTGAGAATGCAATTATGTTTTCCATTTTGTGCTCGGACGTCATCTGTCTAACAGCAGCAGCGGCAGCAGCAGCAGCGGCAGCAGCAACTTCTGGTGGGTGCATGTGTTTTAGAGGCAGTTTTGTCAAGCTTTACTTTCACCTCTTCACTCTGCCGCTGTGGAAGCGTAAAATGTGGCTCATTATGTGTTTCCAATGGTCCACCGGACAGTAGAACTGAGGGAGCAGTTCTGAGAGAACAAGAGAGGAATCATTTACATTGTGCGCAGTGAAGCCCTCAAGGTAGCAAGGCTTAGCCAGACTCCTTGTCACACAGTCATTGTCAAACTGAGGTGTAACATCACTAACGACTTCAGTCCACTTATGAGCCTCTTAGGAGGCGAGACAAAAACATGGCAGTGCACGGAGAGAACATGCCCATCCCCCTCGCCGGGAAAAAAATTAATGTCCCTGATCTCCATATGTGCATTTTAAGATGTTTGGAGGTCAGTAATCCATGAGATCAGGTTAAATGTTCCAATTAACTTGAGCCCATAAGTTCCACTGTAATTACCGAACAACATATATCTCAGTGATAATCAGCCCTCCATTGTTTTAGGAGCACAGAGACAGAATCCTTATCCTATCCTTGGCCCAGCTCTCAAAAACAAGACAAAAACAGAGAAAATGGGAAAAATGTTTCTTACGATAAGCTTAATTGTCTGCAAGCAGATCAGGGAAATTTTATTTGAACATTACAAATATAACAACTGCACAATATCATATATTTTCATTATTTAAGGTATTTCATCTTACTTTGATTTAATGTTTTTGCAGTGCACCTGCTTCTCCTCTCTCGTCTCCATCAACTTTGTCTCTTCACTTCCCAAAGCCGAGCTTTGATTGATGAGTTTTCATTTTCGCCTGTTTCAGTCAGGAAAGTAATGACAGGCTCAATTGAAATGTATATGCAAACTTTACTGAGATACTAGGACAGCTAGGAAATTCTTGCAAGTAAAGTAAAAATATAGACCAAAAAATATGTACCTTATGTGAACATTAACTTTTAAAACAAAATTGAAGCCAAATCATCCCACCTTCAGGGGCTGCCATCTTGCACCAGTGATGTCATTTGGAGCCAGGGTATTTACAGAAGTGATTGGGGAGTGGCGGCGAAGTATCAAAGTCACTTACTCAACCAATCACAAGTCAGTCCCAGCCCCTGTCAGTCATTACATCTCACCCATAGATTGTACATGAAGATGGACGACATTTCAATCGCCGCCTGCAGTATTGGTCATTAACCGGTCACAGGCAGGTCAGGTTTATGAATTGTACAGCATCCAGCCACCAGGGAGCGACCAGGATGTTTTGGCTTCACTTTTGGGGAGCTGTTACATCATCCATTTATATAAACACTTATACAGTGACGCTAACTATGTGGCATTGTGATGGATGGCCACTGTTTAATGTAGCGTGACTGCACAGGGGCTATTTGTCAGCTGATGTCTGGGGCTGAAAGGCATTGAACTACAAGCAGTCTGCTAGTGCCTGTTCACTTAGCTGACATAATCAAAGCCCCATTGTCTTGAGTAAAGATTTTGTAGAAACAACAACATCATTTAGAGGTTTTTGGTGACTACATCACAATTTTTATTGTATAAACCTCTGAAAACATACCCAGGTAACCTCATTGGTGAGTATTTCCATGGGTAACATGGGGTAGTGATGAAAAAATACCTGCTACCAAACTACACTATCCAACTGAGAACAGTTGGGAGTACAACGCTGTGTAACTGCCCCATGCTGTGCTTTAAAGAATGGTTCAAAACAATTTAGTTTATCAAAGAGATACTCCTGCCCTACTTTCTCCAGCTTTCTCTGAATTTTCAGCTATTACCAACGCTGCCTGCAGACCTTTGCTGGGATGAGAACAACTCAAGAGACAGAAATGTGTCTATAAAAATAAATACCCCTGTGTTTAAATACCCTGTTAATTTTTTCGATTGGGTTAAAAAACATGTGATTATCGTATTGTTAAGAAAGATAATACTTGTACAGGCAGAGATTTAAAAAAAAAAAGTCGGGAGATGAAGAGGAGAAGGATGAACACAATGACGAAAGGGATGTGGTTTCCAAAGGGCAGACAGCGTGGATAAAGGTTAAGAAAAATAGGAAACACAGAAACGCACAAGTACACACACACTCACACAAAAACATGAAGAGAGAGATAAGGAGCGGTGAAAGAAAATGCTGATCCATGCTCCCTGTCTGGGAAGGCAGAAACAGAACATTGATTCTGCAAGATCCACAAATGAAAAATCCATGGGGGTAAGGAACTCTTCGGTCCTGCAGCAGAGACAGGGCACCGACGGTCAGGTTCTCGTATCACAACTGACACCGAGCCCGTCCCTCTCACTGGGTGGCAGTGGACAGTGCTGGATCAGCTGGACAGGGGCCAAAACCAACCAAACCAGCAGGACGCCATGCTGAGAACAAGATAGAAGGGACAACATTTAGTTTGGGGCTTAAAACAGAGCTTGTCTTTGTGTTGTTTGAATGAAACCAAATTAGTTACAGAATTTGGGGGGAAATACAATTTCACAAAACAAAATTTTGTTTTAATGCTGGCAATTAATTATAATTTTTATCATGAAAATACTCCAAATTAAAGGCATCTGAACCAAAATGTATTATTTTAGGTATAATACAATCTGAGCTCTTATTAGAAAAAGACAGATACCTACTCAGGATACTTAAAATTGCAGTACTACATTCAACAACTGGAAGTCAAATATGAACACTGTTATAATAGAAATGG